AGTACAAAAAATAGTAATAAAATACATTAAATTTTAAATTAGATATTAATATACATATTTTGCCATGATAAACAAAAGAGTTAAAGAGTACATTTATTCGAAATATGTTAGGAAAATATCTGAACAACATACTCGTATATGGGTCATTCTTTTACAAACCGGACGGATTTTGGCAAAAAATGATCTCATGATCTCCGATTTGGCATAAATTTTTTTTATGAGCTCCTTTTATAAAATAAGAAGACCCGTATCTCGGATAAAAATTTTGTGATTTTTTTCCTAGGAGATATGCACCCATGGGTTTTTGAGAATTGGCATTGTAGACACATTTTCAAATGGCTATATCTCAAGTTCTATAAAAGATAGAAACTTGAAATTTACCGCGTCAATGATTGTTTATATTTAAGTATTAATATTAACCGTTAAATTCAAAAAAAAATTTCTCAAAACTATTAGCTAAATTTTCATTTTTTATATTTTCTTTAGATTCAGTTTTATATTTTACTACGAAATATTTTACTACCACCATCTTTTTTTGAGATTTTTTAATATTTTTTTTTCTTCCGCAAAACACATCAAGCACATGCGTACTATTTTTCCATTGAATGAATTTTCAAAGAATATACTACATATATTCTTATATAATATTTTTGATTTCGATTAGTAATAAAATTCTACATAAAACCCAAAAATTTCTGGACGATATTGTCATTAGAAGGACTTTTAAAAATTTATTTATCCTTCATTTCACACCAAACACATACACACGATTTTTCAATAAAAAAAGAAAGGAATATATCACACAAATTTTTTTTATAAATTCTGATTCAAATTAATACATAAATTCTACTTCAAAAATAAATATTTCCACTGTGATATTCATTTTAGAAGTAATTAAAAAAAATTAATTTATCAGGCGTCCTTCACATTGCTCATACGCACCATAACATAGCACCATTAAATCAATTTTCGAAGAAAAATTATACAAAAATGTTTACTTTTTATTTCTTAAATAAATGTATATATAAAATATTAACATTTTAAATTAGTCCCGTATCATTTCTGTTTTTAACTTATTAATTTTAACATAATTAAACTTCTTTCTTAAATAGATGAATTAAAACGATAATTACCCGAATTACTTAGATAACTGCAGCAGATAGTCACACCTACCTTTTTCGATGAAGTTTTATTTTGCTACAGTTGGAAAAATATTCTTCACAGGTCAGAAATGTTATAGGAAAAAAACTGTGAGGAGCTAAAAACAAAATATTTATTTTAATGGTTTTAAAATTGATTTTATTAGTTCGCATTTCATTATTGATACATAATCTGTAATGTCTGAAGAAGAAGATATTTTTGCCATTAATACTTTTTTGGAATTTGGAATAAGGCAGTGATATTTTAATGTGCCTTTAACTGATGTAGCTGCTTCAAAGCGGTGTTTAATCTTATTTTCTTCTACTTCATAGTTTTTTAACGTTGAGAAATGGCACACAATATTTGGTAAACATTCCTTAGCCCAGTTAAATAATTCCTTTGGTGTTTGGATTGGATTATTTAGTCGTTGAAGGCTAGCTCTTGCAGCATTCCTCTCTAAGGTACCAGCTAAGCCGTCGCATGGTCCTTTGCCGTATGACGTTGGAAAAAAGTGACATTCTGCTTCCAAACCAAAGTCCGCTTTGTGATGAGTTAAATTAATAAAATTTTCTTTATTTTTATATTGTGAACCCGATCCATCGGAAAAACATGATAGCGTATTTTTGAAATAAACTTACAGCAGTTGTGTTGTGATGTAAACAGTCAGATATGCAGACAAAATTTTTTATTTGTAGTTTTTTATTTTCATCACGTGGTATATAGTGTGTATGTGTTTGGCCTGATATGAAGGATAAATAAATTTTTAAAAGTCCTTCTAATGACAATATCGTCCAGAAATTTTTGGGTTTTATGTAGAATTTTATTACTAATCGAAATCAAAAATATTATATAAGAATATATGTAGTATATTCTTTGAAAATTCATTCAATGGAAAAATAGTACGCATGTGCTTGATGTGTTTTGCGGAAGAAAAAAAAATATTAAAAAATCTCAAAAAATAATAGCATCCTAAAAATTTTTATTTCGTAGTAAAATTAGTAATATAAAATATAAAAAATGGAATCTTAGGGGATATATTTTAAGTAAAATTTTTTTTTTAATTTAATAGTTAATATTAGTACTTAAATATACACAAGTTTAAATGTTTAAACAATTTCATTAAAGTTCAATCAATTATCTTTGAAATGCTTTAAATTTCAAGTTTCTTGAGATTTAGCCATTTGAAAATGTGTCTACTATGCCAATTCTCAAAACCCCATGGGTCCATATCTCCTAGGTCTTCTTATTTTATGAAAGGAGCTCATAAAAAAAATTGCAGCCAAATCGGAGATCATGAGGTCAAAAAGGTGTCCGTGTTGTAAAAGAATGACCCATATACAGAAAATATATTTTTATTCCGTCAAATAAATTCTCCGCTAAACCTAATTTGTAGAAAATTTAAATTCTTTTGCATACGAAACAATACAAGGTGGAGAATTAACCAAATGGTTATTTTTAAATTGCTTATCTATGATGAGTGTGTTGTTTATCAAAATGAAAAACTGGATATACAATCATAATAAGTTTGCCTTTTTATAAAAATATTATGACCCAAAGTATTTTTTGAAGTCTGCATTTATGTTATAAAAGTAATTATCAATATATGGGTTCTGATCTTTATTTGGTTCTGCTGCTAGTCAGGAAGTATCTAAGACAAGCTTATCATGCAGTGAAAAGAAAAGAATCTTATGAAAGACTTCCGAGCTACAACAAAGTTTGTAGAAATTTTATATTAATACGCTGATCTGATTTGTTTAGATGATTTAAACAAAAAATAGTTCGGCAGTCGCAATTTACACAACATGAGCAATAGGTCATGAGCTTGACGGACTTTTAATGTATGTCCATTAGAAAACATTGAAGTTGAGAGACACAAAAAATTTTTTTGATATCATGAAATATTTCTGAGATATAAAATAGGTATTATAATACCCGACAGACATTGGTGTGATAATTTTTCTATCAATTTTACATATATTGCATCTCTATTGCATAGAGGACACATTTAGCTGCCTAATAAGGGTGAGGGCTCTCCGTTTTTTGTTATTAATCAATATTTGGCACCACTTTTCCCAATCATTTTTCGACAAAAAAAAAACCGTGATTTTAACCTGTGAAAAATTAAAGTTGACTAGGTGAAAATTATGCTGTTATATTTTTCTCTTTGAAGGTTCATCGTTTTCCTTAAATCTAAAACAAAATTTTTTTTTTATCTCTCACTTAATTCACGCTAAAATGGTTCACGTGTCTACATTTTCTTGGATATTTACTTCCTAATGTAAGGCCGTATGTGAGTTGATCTAATTTGCGTTCTAATTGAGGGAAATTCTAGATTGTGCTGATAATGTAGTGAAATATTGGTATTTAGGTCGTGTGGGAGGTAGGCTAAGTTGCGTTCTAAATGAACGAAATTCTAAGTTGTGTCGATAATGTAGTGATGAGTTGGTACTTTGCATATTTTCGAGGTGGCTAAGTCGAGGTTAAATCGCCAGGGCTGTCATTTTAGTATTTTCATAAGATAATATTTTTATACCTGAATTTAAATGATTATATGAGTAAAGAAAATGGCAATAAAAAATAATTTTATTAAATCGTTTTGTTTTATTAGTATTAAAAAAATTAATCATCGTTATTAGAATACTTTTGACCGAAAAATGATCACTTTTTGCATATATTTTGCATTATTTAACTAGCATTTGCAATAAATTTTGTAAGTATTTGTATTTTATATAATGGCAGTTTATATAGTGTATAGTGACTGTTTCCAAAAAATAATTGAATTTCTTTTAATTAACTTGGCAATATTGTTTTGGTAATTTTTGACGTTTGCATGATTTTGAAATACATTGAAATACATATTAGCTCTCAAAATGCAACTCGCAAACTTTTTTCAATTTTGTTGCTAAATGTGTGCAATACAAAAAAATTCCAAGGAAAATTCCATTTCTTTAGTTTAGCATGAAATTAGAACAACTCGCACATGCCCTAAGTAGCTAATTATGACATACTTCGCAGACTTATATTAAGTTAGAATTAATACTCATGGTAGCATGTAATATTTTTATCTCATTACCGAAAACTTTGGATATTTATTGGATAATCAATAATAATAATCATTAACGGTTTCTTTTCTATATTTTCCTTGATTAACATGAAGCTAACAATTGTGAGAATTAGGAATAATGGAAGCATTCAATTTTCAAGATTGAGTTGTTTCTACTCACGAACTAAATATTATGTCGATCACAATAATATCATTAATTAGCAACTCCGTAAAAGCAACAATCATGATCTTTCAAGCCTTTACTTTGATGGTTATGCCATATCAATTTAAGATGTTACAATTCGCCATCTTATTGGTGTTTGCAATCACCATCAACATAGCTCAGAAATAATTTGAAGAGCTTTATGTGGTTTCAATCTATATACGGCTTTTTGTCCATGTCTCTCACGTGGACAACAATATGTTGCCTAATTGTTCTAGAGTTGGCAATCGAGAAAATATCTATATTTACATAGGCAGTAGAATATGTTTACCCATGAAGATTAAAAAATTACAAATACCAAAAGATGGTGCTTTCCCTTTTTTCTTTTATGTTACGTTTACCTAGAATGATCTTCAGCAATGCGTGAACGGTTACAGCAAGTATTGTATTAAAGCTTGTAACAAAATTATTTGAATATATATGTAAGATATCTTTTCCAATACTAAAAACTTTAATTAATGAGAGATTTGATCTGACAATAGCAGACCCAAATAGGGACTATACACGCGCTTAATTTCAAAAGTCTCACATTCACGTCCTTGTGTGTTCGAGTTCTGATGCCAAGGTGGATCTAAAAATAAAACTGTTACTCAATTAATAACAATTCTCCCATCATTTTATTGTATCTGTACTTAAGTGATAGTCATTGTATATATACATATAAAATTTAATCAGAGATCTGACAATTTAATTCTGATTTTTAAATATATTGTATTAGTGCTCTTAAATATATACTAAAATACTAAATAACCAGTTACAATTAATATGTAGTGTAAAATAGGAATTGTATAGAATGTTTTTATGTAAATAATAATTTGCGAATCTATATATGTACCCAAAATTAATTTTCAAATTTAATGTCCAATATTGCAGGACTAGGTCGTGTTTTCGTTTCTATTGGAGGCATCCAAAGCATCTCTTTCAATATAAAAGGGCGTGCCATCTGGTTTCTTACATTTATATTTTAACTGACAGCAATCGGGATACGGCTTGTTCACGTGTATTCTTTCGCCTTTATTACAGTTGGCCAAGTATAGTTTCCCACACCTAAAAAATTAAAAAAATTTTTAATAATACTAGGCTGCTCTAAAGTTCTTAAAAATATTTAATGTTCCTTTCAGAGAATGTTAAAAGCCTATATAGTACATATTGTTGAATATGAAATATTACGTATGAATATAACGATTGTCCTTCTTAATGCAATCCCAACATTAAACATTAGGATTTAATTTTATTTTTCGATATAAATCATATTGTTGTTTACGTTTTTGTTAAATATGTGTTTCTAATAAATTTTAGCACGTTTTCGTTGCTTTTGTTTTCAATTTTTTCCAAACTTGAATTTTCGAATAGATTTAAAAGCATCTTTAAAAGCATCTGTAGGTAAAGTAGATATATTTTTATTTAATAGGTATTGTAATCTATATACATAAAAGAAAGTCGTGTTAGACCACTTATAACTCAAGAACGGCTGGACCGATTTTAATTAACTTTGAATTGTTGGAATCGTCTTCGCTCCGAATAGCAGAATACATTATAAAATATTGGAAAAATCCACTAATTTTAGCAAAAATAATAAATTTGTAAATGCTGTTTCAAACTGTTGACAGTTCGACAGTTTGCGTGATATTCATTTCTTTTTAAATTTTTTTTTCAAATATTTCAAATATTTCAAATTTCAAATATAATAAATTCAAATATAATAAATAAATATTGTCATAAATATATGAGGTGAAAGTATCGATTTGTTTGTTTTGTGCGAGTGTTTAATATTAACAATGCCGCGACCCAGAAAGTCTAATCTTTCTCAACAAAGCCGTAATGCAATTAGGCGTCGAACCATTACGCATGCATCCACTGAAGAAGAACGAGAAATCGCACGAGAAAGGAGCCACATTAGTATGACCCGCCTTCGCGCTTCTCAAACACAAGAGCAAAGAGAGGCAGCCCGTGAAACGGCTCGGTTGGCAATGAGAAATCGTCGAGCTTATCACACAGAAAATATCCGACGATCAAGAAGAAATGCCTCAACTATTGATTTGTATCGAGCAGCGTTTCTATACGATTGCGCAAATGATTACACTTCGCATCCTTTCGTTCGCATTGGTCCAATGGACGTTACTTGCGAACATTGCATTAAAGTTTGCTGGAGAATCGCCGGGATTGTGCTGCCTTAATGGTAAAGTGAAATTGCCATTATTGACTCCGCCACCTGTGTCATTGCATTCATTGCTTTGTGGTGAAACACCAGAATCACGACATTTTCTAGCGAACACTCAAAAGTATAATAGCTGCTTTCAGATGACTTCATTCGGGGCGGACATTATCGAACGGCGTCAAGAGATCAACACAGCAATGAAAATAGCAATTCTTCAAGATCTGCAGCAACTACTTCATGAACATCATGCATTGGTCAAGATGTTCAAGACTACGTTTACCTAAAATTTAATATAACATTCATTGACTGATACGCGGCACGAAGTACACGGGGTCACCTAGTTGTATATAAATAGGATCTCATATTTTTTTATATTAATTTCAAGTATATAGGTATGCTTATATAAATAAAATAGGCTATATGTAATAGTTATTAAGGAAATTATAAGAGGAAAACGAGTGTTATGTAGGAAAAAAATCATATACATATCTGAACTTGAAATTAAATTCGAATCAAATGTAATAACTAATAATAACGAATTTATGTACTATATTCAATAATAAAGTAAAAAATAAATTTTTGTGGACCTGGACATTTAAAAAAAATTCACTGTCACGTACAATTGACCATGAGAAAAATATGCATTTTCTAGATTCGAACTACAAACACTCAAGGATGACGAATGCAAGCCGAATAGGAAATTGAATTCGTTTAAACTCAAAGGGCATATCGGTTAGGATCATTGGAATCCTCGGAATGAGAACTTCATCACTTTTGAATTTTCCTTTGGGTATCGTTGCGTAAATCACATTGGCCATCAGTTTTGTTATCACCAATCGCGTTCCATTGAATAGTTTTAGTTGGTTCAGATTTCGAAGCATAATGACTACCGAACCAACCTTTAGTTGTAAATTATGCGGTGGTAAGCCAGGCTAGTTGTTAGACACAGTCCTCGTTTCTTACATAGTTTAAGTCATCCACATCTTTGTTCTTAGCCGCCAAAATTGCTCGCTCACTCATCCATTTGTTATTTTTATGATAATCAATGATGTTTAGAAATACTTCATTGATGAGTTCGTCTTTTGATGAGACGAAATTGCAACAATTTGAAGGAAATGCAATTAATCCGCTGGATTCTTTAACAGGCACACGGCCATAACCGATTTTCAACAATTGCTTGGAGAAATCTTCATATATTAATGACAGTATTTATTTATTATATTTGAATTTTTCGTCTATCTTCGATAGTTATCTTTAAGGAAACTAACAAAAAACATAATTTAAAAGTTATAGCGGGAAAAATAATAAATACGATAAAAATAATGACAAAAAGAAAAGCGATAAGAGAAAGAAGAATACAAATTATAAAAAACATATACAATATCCTGTGACATTTGATTATAATATCCTAGTGCGTTATCCCGCAAAAACAAAATATTTTTCTTTGACAAATTTAGCCATTTTTTCCCTTTATTTCCTCATTCAATCGAACCAACAATATGCAATAGTAGTCTGATGTTATTGTTTTTCTTTTTTCTATATAGTCAAAGAAAATTATTCCACTTGAGTTCCAAAATACGGAAGCCAAAACTTTTCCAGCTGATTGATAAGTTTGTAGTCGTTTGGGTGCACTGTCCCCGGGCTTTAGCCATTCTCTAGCTTGTTGTTTTATTTCAGGTGTAAAGTAACGTATCCGCGTTTAATCAATTGTCACTACTCGACAACTGATTCCAAACAATGTTCTGAATAATGAAGTAGTTGTCGTTAAAATTGTTGTTAAAATATTGTACAACAACATTATACACGTCCGAAGGCGTTGAGAAGGAGATCATACAGTGCTCCGTAAACAAAAAAGAAGTGTTAGAAACATTAAAAGAAGCAAAAGTGCGGCCAAAAATTACCAAAAATTAAGTGTAATAATAGTAATAGTAATAAGCAGAGATGTTGGATTATACAGTTGTAAAACGTACCAAGAATTCAGAGAGAAGTATGAAATATTCGAGCGTGTAGGTGAAATCAATAAACCTGAGAAAAATCAGTTTAGCAGTAACAGCAAGAAAAACATTCATAATTAAAAAATGAGCCACTGATTTAATTGTGGATCAAGTGATCATAACCGAGCAGTTTGTAAAATGGAAAGAAAATGTATTAAATGCACTGAAGCGGGACATATAGTGAAAAATTATAGTGGATTATAGTGGACATATAGTGGAAGTGGCGTGAAAAATGCTTTGATCAGTTAACCTGTCTTAAAAACTTACTGTAGGAATGCGCTAATAAAATTACACACAGATGCATTAAAAGACAGTTTTGGTACTACATAGTGTAAACGTTTGAAGACCATTTCATCCAGTTTTGTTTTGGAGTAAGAAAATAACGTTAAGTGATTTTAAACATCACAATTACAATAACAATTTCGATACAACCTTTTAGGAGTCCCGTTTTAGTTGATTGCAGATTGCTCTGCATTTACTCAGACAGTTAAAAGACTAAAGTTCCGCGTGAAGTAGCTCAATGGATATTACATCCGGCAGACTTCGACTTTAAAATTGAACATGAACATGGAACTGTTTAATGGAGGTTCTTACAATTTTCTCTAAGATCTCTGAAACCTGACAGTTGAACCCAAAGTGATGGAGCGTGAAATTATTACGACTGTCCATAATGTTGCATAATTTTATGTACAAAAAACAATGCATAGCGTAAGTCAGCAGTTTTGGATATCGCATTTAGAGAGTAAAATCGAGTAAAATCCCTAATGCAATCAACGCTTGTATCAAATGCAATATCAGTAACAAGAAACTTGGCAAACATGACAGCTATTCACGGGTGCAACATATGTATATATGTTATATATATATATATATAACTTCAATAAAAATGGGGCTAGCTTTTATTCGAAATATGCATATTTAGGATGTTATTTTCATTTTAATCGAATCTATTATCAAATCTATATGATTAGGAGTCTTCTTATTTACTATCACTATACTACATGTTTTGGAATTTTGTTTATATAAAAAATTGACTTTGAAGCTGAAAAAAATATTCACAACTTTTAATGTGTCTGTGAATGAGAATGTAGTATGTGTCGGCGTAGCAAAATAATATAGTATTTGCAATGCTGGGTAAAAATCTCTTCCAGTCTCGGCATATATTATTACCGCGTCCACAAACGAGAAGTATTAATATTTTTAATACTTCTTGAATGTAAAATTGTAATAGAATTTATACTCTTAGAAATATTTAGAAATGTTTCTCTCAGATTTAATTGATTTCAGTCTGAAAATTTATTTTTTTGGGTGCCTTATTGAATTTTTAAATGTAATTTATTTATAAGTGTATTTGCAGTACATATTTTTATCAGCTTGGGCAATTTGTGTTCAATAAAACTGGGCAGTCACTGCGTATTAAAATCAAAACAATTTTTTGATCAAATACATATGCACACATTACACATAATTGCACCACCCGAATTTTATTTCAAATACTTGGAATATTGTCACATATTTTATAATTATTTCGTGTTTAAATTTTTAAAATTCTCAAATGATCAGCAATTAGATTTTCGCGCTGAAGTCTGACTCACGACTTCATCATATTTATTTTTGATATACTTTAAATTAGTGTGCAGTTTATATCAGCAACGAGAAAGTATTTGAGCTCACCCTTCAATTAGTATTGACCCGTCTTCGTTACATGTTAAACGCTGACATGGTGCATTCCCCGGATTAATGCCCAATTTCAAAGTGTCACCATGGTGTATGCATTTACCCGGGTTATCTACAATTAGGTACACAAAATAAATGAATGTAAATTGCTATATGACGTTCTTTTGCCATTAGCTACCTGGATCTGCTGGTATGAGACCTGAGTAGGCGTTGCACACCGAATCTAAAAGCATCATCGAAAAACCAAAGCAAAACAAAATGATTACGATGTTCCGGTCCATCGTGCGCAATGTTTTGAATCGTTTTGAGATCGTAAAATAACTAAAAGAAAAGCGAAGACGGCACAGTAAATAAGTGATTTTGTTCTCTTCGCGATTTTTTAAGGCGATTTGTGCTTAGAATTTTACTAATTGTTGTCGTTTCTATACGCTTTTGTCTTCTCTGTTGGAAATCGTTTCGTTAATTCCTCTTGTGCTTGTTTTCAATTTTTATTGTACATTTTGTTCTATTGTATTTACGACTATAGCCCAGGGTCGCAGAGATTATCGGTAATTTTTTATTTTATTTTCAGTTTCAACAAATGGAAATACGCTTGCCTGATACTTCAATCGCATTAATATATTATTTAAATAATGCAACACTTGTTGTGGAATGTTTTTTATTCAAATAAATAAGAAAACATTATTGTTTTGTTAATATTTTTAATGACGGTTTCAAAGATATGGTATGGTCAACTCAAGAAAGTTGAATGAAAAAACTGAATTTAATTGTATTAAGAGTCAGGCATTCAATTAAATTGTTAAATTTTATATTTCTTAGAAGTAGTGAAACCAATGCTTATGTTTAATAATGATATAACTTATGGAAGTATATATTACATTAAGTCATTAATTATATTTTTTTTATAATTATTAGTTATAACTTTTATCGGGTACAGAGAACTGCAACTAGTCATAATTTTAACACTCAGTCATAATTTTAACACTCGTAAAAGCGCAAATCAAAATGTGTATAACATAAATATTTTTTCACACATTACTTATACTCGTGTGGCCTATTTACACTATCATGAACGTGAGATGAACTTGACGACAACATGAATAGTTCAGTTTACACTATCATGAACTGTCATGAAGCGTGATATATTTTTGTTTTGTGCCCAGCGTCCGGAATGCTTTCGCGTGTTTTGTTTCTCGCGGAAGCGTATTTAATTCAAACGCAGACGATTCTTCAGCGATACTTTTGTAAGAGAGTTGTCCATCGTCCGCGAATCGCTTAGACGCGCAATTATCCACTCCCCAAAACCATCGGGAAAGGTGATGGTGAGTGAGCTTTCTTTTCCTCTCATATTAGTAAAAGCTTTTAGCACTCTAACTTATACATTGAAAACATTCTTTTTTTATATTTTTTATAATTAAGTTTTATTCAATAAATATTAGAAATACAGAAAAACTTTGTATTAGTGAATTGTTTATTTTAAATAGATCTATAACTTTTGGGAAGACAGTTTTTATGTAAAATTAAATATGTCGGAGATATAAGCAATCAAAGATGAATTTTATGGAAAAAATCGTTATTTTCCAATCTTTGAGGCTCTTGGGGCACCATTTCCACTTATCCAATTGAACTAAAATTTCACACAGATTATTTTTTTAGTAAAACGAACCGATCTGGGGGGGTGCCGCGGGCAATTTTCCGACTTTCGAAAATTAATGGCACCCTAGTGTGCATGCTATTTAATTTTAAGTTAACCGAATGAGAAATAATACCTAATAAGATCAATTAAAACACAAATAAATAATTAAATATTAATAATTATTATTAAAATAATAAATAAATAAATAAACTGAAAACAACTACTGAACTGCAGACTGAAATAGAGATATAATAAAGTATATTAAAAAGAACGCTTAAAGTATATAAAGCGCAATCAATTTAATTTTTTACTTACACTGGAATGCCGAATGGAAAATCGAACGAAAAACAATAATTAATATATTATTGTTGAAAGCAAATTCACTAGATTTTAACAACAAAATCAATACGCACCGAAAAACTAGATGGCCCGCACTGAGCATGATTTAAATAATTGTAAAATATCTGTCGCTCGGTATGTTCCACGAAGTGTAAGGGTTTTTTTTCTGCTAGTCGCATGATATGATACATTACTAGTACATTCTATTAGTATGATCACTTGTCACCTTCTTTTGTAAATATGATGTCAGGCATGTATTTTTCATGTGTTTACGGCAGGGACTACTGGGTAACTTCGGCACAAACACTGAATAAGTGTGCGAGTTTTATTTCACTCCACCACATTCGTGTGAAATGTGTATTTTGTTTGTGCACACAAGACATGAATTTTTTTTGAAAAAAAATTTTCGCACACCACATTTGTGGTGTAAAATTTCTTTATTTGCGCACACATTTGTGGGAAGTGCTTTGCATTTTGTCCACAGCACAGTGTTGTTCTGAACCCTGATAAATAGCTTCATAGTACATGATCTTCCGTATGTGTAGAATATATGGGAGCACCACTTTTCGGTCCCTCAATAAATGCAATTTGTGTGGTGAAAACAATATATAATGCTTAGAACTCGATATTCGTCGAAAATTGTGATATTGTCATTACCTTAGATTTTGGAAAGAATAAACTACAAAAAATAGAATTAAGGTTTAAGGTAGCAGAACTACTAACGAAATTTGCTGGAGAATAGAAGCTAATTTCAGATTTGATAAGTAATAGAAATGTTTTTAATAAATTTGGACTAAGAGCAAAACATAAGAGCAGAACAATATTAACAACAAAAATAAAATCATATCTTCATTGTCTACTTCTACATCACCCATATGAAATTGATATTCCTGTAGACTAAAGTTCCAATTATTTTAATTTCTGGGTTCAATTCGAACTGGAATTGTTCATGTGAATTTTTAGCATTTGTTTTTGTTGGTTTGTCGCAGATATAGATGACACTACAAGTCAATAGATATTTCCCATAGAAAAAATATATAAATATTATATGAGTACATGTTTGTAATTTTATATCTTTTGTTATGCTTCCATGTTTTCATTTAAATAAATTACTTAAATATTCAAAAAGGAAAGAAATGCGAACTTGTTACATATGTTATTTCTATATGTTTAAAGACGAGTGTATAGAGATTAAAAATGGCAAAAAGAGAGAAAAAAATATATTATAAGGACGGAAATTTACACCAAATTTTCACCTACATATGTATATATACACTAAAAACATCACTAATGTACGATACGAACTAAAAAAACTTCAGCACACAGGTTTTATTTAAGCACATCACGTTTACACTTATTTATCAGTAAGTGTTCACTGGTAAATATTGCAAATAGATGCAAATAAAATAGATTAACTAATATTTAATTTATTTATCATAAACAACTTACCAAACCTCACCCCCCGCATCAAAATAATTGCAGCACGCACGCGCAATACATCCAAGTGGTCTGCAATCACATTGAAATAAAATATAAAATAATAATATAATTAAATAAATGAATAGACTTATCTACTTATTTATTATAATATTTATATATTTTTTGAACACTTTTTATATTTTATTATATTACAATAAATAAAATAAATATTGAGAACCACCAGCAACCCAATGTATGTCAAAGCACGTTGGTGAGAATCAAAATAAATCAACGAAACAGCCAAATAATTGTCAAAATATTCGTCGTAAGAGAAATGCTAGACTGCATCAATGAGCATTTAATACATAAGGGGTATTCACTCTCCCTTGCAAACTCATTGCAAGGTGCACGAAATGCACAGATTGTACGAAAATGCAAATAACAACCACAAAATACACGCACAAAATTTCGTGCAATTGCGTGCAATCTTCCAATACTAAGACCTATGTCTATTTGCTTGCAACAAAACAAAAATGGCAGAAATCAGCTGTTTTGACATTTGTTGCTTCTCATTTTTAAATTTGAATTGAGGGTTAGTAAAATTTCGAGATATGTTTCGTTCAATGATTTAAAACGATGTGGCCATTCATTAAGTTTTCACAAATATAATATTATATACATATACATTTGTGAATTAATTTATCTATTTATCAATTTCAGCGAAACTTACGAAAATTTGTCCACATTTTGAACTATTGAATGAAGTGTTTGGACTCATGTCTAATTTTCAGCCGCTTGTTATATGTACGGACACATTGTCACAGTCACCATCTAGTTCTGCGCTAGGCGACGAAGTTTATTTTATTGAATCGTCTGCAGACAACACATCATCCAGGGCCCTGTTGCACCAACACTTTTCACTTTTCACTTTGCAAAACTTATGAGTGACTTTTTTTTGCAAAGTAAAAGTGAAAAGCGTTGCACCAAAGACTTAACATAATTTACTTTGCACTTTGCAAATAAAAATTTCACTGCAAAGTCTTTGCATAAAATGCAAAGCAAAGCGTTGCACCAAAAAATTAGATCACTTTCATTTTGTATTGGTCTTTGAAAGCATTTCGATTCTGTATGTATACTTGTTTTTTGTTTGTTTGATATTTTGATGCTATGAGTACATGATTTATGCATAGTATGTACTTATGAGTTTAATTTTTGTTTAAAATAAAAGTTTTTAAAATAATATTTTATTTTAACAATTTATATTATTACAATTTGTAATATTTGTATAATTTTAGTACAATTATATGTTATATATTAATACAAAACACAAAATTTTTGTATATGATTTCTTTTATTGACATTGAATCGTAGATAAAGAAGTTGTGTATATCCATAGAGACAATTTTTATGCTTTTAATTTATTTTGCTGTTTGAAAAGTTATAGAAAAAGAATTTATATATAAGGAGTATGAGTATGAGTTGTTTTAACAACAATTATATTGAAAAACAAAGTTAACAAATATAATAAGTTGCTTTTATATAAAAATTTAGTTGAAAATCTGTCATTATTATTTAATTTTAAAATATTATAAGTTATTAAAGTATTGTTTACTTGTCGCTGTGTATTATCCTAATACAAAAGAAACCTACGCATAAAGGGCCTAAATTACTGATTTTATTTAGAACATTTTTCTTAATTTATACAAAATTACCTTAAAACTAACTTAACTAATTTTACTATCAACGTTAAAATAATATGTTATCTGTTATCACTAATTTTAGTGAACTATATTATTTTTAATTACATTTCAAACAAGGTTCAAAAAACGACGCAAGTCCAGGCACTTGTGATTTTTTCTTCTATTGTCTTTAGAAATACATTTTTATTATCATAATTAGATACGGATAATTAGATATTTAAAAATGTTACAATGTTAGCTATTATAGGATATTTTATACCCATGTTTTTTCTTAGTTCATAATTCGGAGAATTTGAACGGTAACAGACTTATAA